TCTTGTACTAGTATATTAATTAATGGTGTCTAGATTTCTTTTATATGTTTCTATATTTATCATAACGATCTTTCATTCGAACAGTTACCATTATATCAGGTATAACTCTCAAGCTGAATACAGTGGTTTACATCCAAGTGTTGATTTGAAATCTAAGACAATACCTGCACTCGCTATAATGAATCACAAATGAAAATAATCAAGTTTAACTGCTTGGCTACTGCGCATGTGCACAAGTAACAAGTTTCCTTCTTGTGAAAGCTCGGTACGTACTCGCGCACAAAAAGCCTGTAACGATATATCTTTTTTAATAAAACAACAACAAAACATAATATGACAAAGTTAGCCACGAATCGTCCAAAACAAGATACTTAGAAGATATCATTGGTTCTCTAGTTTCATACAACTCTCCGGAATGCTTTGCCATCATATCATGCCACACGCTGGAAGTAGTTCACAGGGAAACCGTTATGATGTCGTCCATTTTTGTTACGCATGGTTAACCGCATTACATCCTGTAAATGAATTAAAAAAAAAACTACTTATCATGTGATTTGCAGATTTGGAAACAAACAACATAAGTATATACATTCAATATATCGAACCACACACTTGTTCCTATGTTCCAAAACAAACATATTTATTTATATATAGTTGAACTACATTCATCAAACTTTGTGTAATCTTATTATCGGTATTTTATTTTGTTTTCGTATTTTATCTTGTTATCGAAGTCTTATATATTAATGAATAATTTATTTTATTATCAATACTTTTTTTTTATGCTACTGGCGTTTTATTTTGCTCACAGAGCCTTAAAACATTAAGATAAGTGATAGCGCATAAAAACAAAACACGTTAACCATTATCAAGGCCTCTCACTAACTGTATAAAATCAGTGTACTACTAGGGATAACTATTATACATATAACTTCGTAAACTTTCTCAGGACAATCACATAAAAACAAGATTAACATAGTTCTCACAGCTGACCAGACGATAAAGACACATTGTTCTGTGAAACGTGACACATGCGAAGGAACCAGGACCACCCCTGATGACGAGGTTAAAGGTTAACGTCATTACAGTGAGTATAGTGCCTTAGAACGAGAGAAAGTCAGTAGGAGAAGGACAAGAATGGAGTGTTGTATGTATTCGAAGCTGGATTAAAGATACCAGTGCGGTGGGTGGATGAGATTAGGCTTACCCAATTATTAAAAACGTGAACGTGACTTTTACGCGCATAAAACCCTGTCATTTTTTTGAAAATGGTGGTACAATATGGCATCAAGTGACGTATCGTAAAAATTAAGATTTAAAAGTTTAAAAATACTCCCCATTTTGGTTGCAGCACCGGACTTAAATCGACATTTTATAGGCCTAGCATTCTTGCCCAAAGAACGGCCTTAATTATCTTGTTTAGACAATAATAACTTCAAAATAATTGTTCAGCTCCACTTTTGACAGGCACGTCTAGAGAAATAATAAAGTAATGTAACTGCTGAACCATAGATGAACTCATAAAAGCGAAGTAAGTTCATTCGGTCGTGCGTGGTTTATGACACATCATGTTTAAAATTTCAAGTAAACCTAATAAGTTTCTTATTTTGCTTTATGGTAGTTGCTATTACCAACCACGACAAAAAAAAAACGATTTGTGAAATCATGCTTTAGTTCACCAGCAGATGTTTATACATGAAATATCAAATATAGGTTATAATTTCTGTGAAATGAGTGTTGAGGAATAGTATAACTTGAATTTTGAAATGCTGGTAAGTAGTCCCTATTTGTTAGAACATCATGTTTATGTTTTGTTTGTATAAGTATATCACAATGAAGCTTCGATGCATTCGATACTGACCTAAAAATTTACAAAATTATAGAATTTGTTTAATGTTCTGAAAATAGGGCCTAATGATGCTTCTGCCCACCATCAAGAAGACCCCACCACCGGAACAAACCTATATATTACATTAAGATTAAGAGTATATCCGAAACTGTTGTGCCCTCCCCTTTAGTGGCTCAGAGGTCACTCTGAAGGCTTATAATGCTAAAAAGCTGGTTTCATTACTCTTGATGGACACAGCACAAATAGTCCAATTTGTAGCTTTGCGCTTAACAACAAACAAACAAACAAATAAGAAATAAACCTGCCAAAACGGTTGCCTCCAGTGGCTCAGCGGAAAGTCTTTATAACACTAGATACCGGCTTTCGATGCCTGTAGTGGGCACGGCACAGATACCACATTGTGTAGCTTTGCGCTTAACTGCAAACAAACAAACAGACCAAAACGGTTTTATATTTGGGGTAGAACATATGGCTCGTGCAC